CTTGGATCCTTACACCGATCAAATTCCCACCCAACCAACCTCACTACTCCAATTACAATAATACCACTTTTTGCTTTCCCACCACCCGATTTCCCAACCAGTAATGTAACATCAGGCATGAATTCCGACACTAATTCACACATCTCAGTTTTATACTCCACGTCACAACTCAATAACCCGAATATTGAAACCCCCGATGAATTTGCCGACTCTGAACCATCTCCATCCAATAATTTTCCCACCAACCCCTCAATTTTTTCCCACCCCCCTTTTCAACCAATGCTACCAAATAACCCCGTCCCCACCAATTCTACACCCACCAACCCCTCAATTTTTTCCCACCCCCCTTTTCAACCAATGCTACCAAATAACCCCGTCCCCACCAATTCTACACCCTCTTATGCTTCCCAAGTCACTCCAACCTATTCTTCATATCATTCAGACCGCTCATCCAATTCTCCAGATACCCCCCAAATCTCCCCAGAACTAGATAATTTTATTACATTACAACAACAACCCTACCACCTTGATACCCCCACCATAAACCATATTTCATCCACAATAGATTCATCCAACCCTCCTACCCCTACACCCTCTTCAATTTATACCGAATCATTAGCACCATCATCCACATCTACTGAATCTTCACTCAGCACTAATAGAGCTTACCGCACTTTTAAAAGAAAGTTCCCCAACCATCCTTTCCCAGCAAAACCAGGAACAGCCCGTGAATATATAAATCACCCAAATCACACTAACACAAAAGAATTTTTAGCTATCACCTTACCCTCATTTCCACAATACACCTTAAACACCCCTCACGACACTAACGAAACACGCAGCTTTGTAGACGAATACGTTTTAATGCCTACTCTTTCTTGGACCTCATATTATCATTTTACTAATCCCCTTTGCTTACCTTTATCTAACACTCACATCGATATAGAACGAAATAAGGACATGCTATATCGACTCATTACACCATTAACACCTAGACAATTTACTTACATTGGATATAAAAAATCACTAAAAACACACACTGCACCCCGAGCTAATGAATATACACTAGAATATTACGATCATAACATCATCAGAGCTAACCAAGATCAATTCTTAGACGACGATCGCTTCGCTAACCCACAAATCACCGAGAAATTTTTCATTAAAACCATATGTATTTACACTAAATATCTTCGATCGCAAGTTTGACCACATTATTTCAGAAGCACTAATAGACACACAAGCCTACGAAAGTTTTAAAGAACGCTTCCAAATATTTTCACTAACCTTTCATTTCCTTGCACCACATGAAAGAGATTTGCACTGCTCACACGATATTATGTTGCGCACTAAACAAACACACACATATACATATTATCGTTTCATCCAAAATCACTTTGACCTACACACTCCCTCCCGACAACCACACCATCGTTTTCAATTCATCAATTCCAAATACACATCACCATTCTTTCTTAACTTCACATATTGCATTAAAGATACTAACCTTCATGGTATTCTTCGAAATTATGATCCCATAACCCAAATGTATATCTTTTGCCCCATCACCAAGACCCTCAACGCCGAAGAATCCCGACCCTTCCTTATCCCACACGAATTTGTACAACCTATAGAAATCCCCATTTTAGAATTCATCCACAACACTAAATTCAATCACAAATTATATAATCTAATCCAAAACACACCTTACGAGTTTGTAGTTGGCACTGAAGAACTAACCACCATTAAAGCACTTCAATTGCTTTGGCCACTGCTTCAAACTAAAAATATCATCCGCATCTTAGCTAAATTACTAACAACTTCAGATCTCATCCACGACATCTTCCCCCACGGTTTCTTCCCCGACGACTAACAGGTAAGTATGAACTATACATATTATTAACTAGTTATTAAAATTAGAAACTAACCATTCTTTATTCATGTTTTCTTTAGAATTTTAGCCTTCATCCAACGATCATCTGAAAAATTCACAAAAGAAAAATAAAAAAATAGCAAACTTCTTCAAACACTGTTTAAAACTCTATTAAATTTTTGCACCAACAATTAAATAAATATAATACCAATGCAGTAATTTAATTTATAAATTTTTCCCCCACAAGCAGTAAATCTAATTATGATGAAAATTTGTAACTTAATCTTTCCCAATAAATAGCAGTAAAATTAAAAATTCTATGTAATAAATTAATAAGAAGCAAATGCAGTACTAACCTTTTGATATTTTCATTCACTCGCACAAGAATTCTATCCAAATTCTCACAGCTCGCCCACGAAGAATTGTTTAAATAATGAATTTTAGTTTCAAGCTTTCACACTCAACAACTCTAACACACGATAACAAGTTTCAAACTTTCCTTTAACCCGGTTGGAAAGGAATTATATACTAAACAAAACTAACCAATGCAGCTTACTAAACACCACAACACATAGCATAACAGCATGACTAAGAAAAGGAAACCAACGGTACCCAAACCGGATTAACCCAGTTTAAAACTGGATAATTTATTCTTTTGAAGACTATTATAAAGTCTAAGAAAGAAATAATAAAACACAAAAAAGTCGAAAGACAAACCCATACCACAAACAATTTGATTTTTGAAAAAAAGGACACAACCAACAAAACATAAGAAAAACCACAACAAACCCAACATAAAACGTTGTCACATAACAGGACCTCTCACAAAAACCGCATGCAATCATACTCCCACTCCTGGCCTAACCCACCAGAAGAGGACGTCCTGAGCATGCTCTATAGCCGGCCTAACCCACCGCGCTACATCCACGCTTTGTGACACACACTCCTATTTTTAATAAGAGCTACTCAAGGGTGAGTAACTCTTCAAAATAACTGAACTAAAACAAAAAGCTTTTGTGGAAACAACTAACTAAAATCATAATTAAAAAATATTAAACTAATAAAAGTTTTATAAAATGTAAATTACATTATGCAATACATAGATCAGAATACAACACCAAGGACGAACATCCAAAGACAAAACGACCCCACTACACTCGAAAAAGAATGGCCAACCACAATCAATATGCCGCCCACAATCACAACTCAAAGGATTTAGAGTACGACTTGACTTCGCAGAAAAGGACTTCATTGAACTAGACCAATGACCACCTCGATGTTCAAGTATACGTACAGATCCGAGTAACCAGGCATCCCCTCCACGCACAATCTCCACGCCATTCCCAGACAAGATCAAAACACAAAGAAGTTCTCATCAATGAAACAGAAAAACCTGACATAGCCAACCATTCTGAAATCAGATTTGAGTTTGTTGCGAAAACCCAGTCGTTGTCTTGAGAAGACACAACGATTGAATCTGGGGCTTCTCTAATAAGAAAACCCAGAAGAAATAAGATGTTCGCCAAATATCAACGTCCATCATCCATCCTTTGAATTGCAGAAAGACTATTCTAAAAAACTCTGTAAAACCCGGATGGGTGGAACCTGATCTAAACTACATTTTATGATTGGATAAATTAGATATTTTACCACTGTAAAGTATTTAATATTAACCAATCATGATCCATCCAACTAACAACCCACTTATTTGTAAGTGCTGAAATTACTTGTAATTTCAGCACCAGAGAGATTTGAATTTAACTTAGAAATTAGTTAACTCTCCAAGAAGACTTCAGCAACCGCAATAAACCAGTATACCCTAGATCTATTGAGCCTAGCAGAGACTAGTTAAACAACCTGAGACTAGATAGTATAAGAGTAAGATTAGGATTGGTATTAGACTAAGAAGTTGCACGAATCTATCCGGCCGAAAATAAGATAGCGTGACGAGCAGACGGTGTACCCTATCCGAAATTACTCTATGAGTTATACACTTCGGTCCTAACTCAATATTAAGAATTTTTAAAGTTAATAAATCATATTGGAAGTTTCATCCTAAAAGTCAATCATAAAATATTTTTGAAATATCAAGACTTTTAAATAGAATATTCTTTTATTCTAGCTTATGATCAAATGTAAATGAGATTTTTAGAAACGCTTTCAAGGGAAATTGAAAAGCGCTTCGGGGTTTTTCTGTTATACGGCACCAAAATTAACAGAAGGTTTAATTTGAGTTTTTGTTTAAAAGTCAAATTAAAGTTTCAACTAAAAATATATTGATTGATGTTCAAACAAAGTTATCAGAATGTATGTATAATCAGCCTGAAAATAATTTTTCAAAATTGTTATAAAACAAATATAAGTATTGAGCGGTAAATTGGTTTCAACCAATCAGGTTGAAGCATTATATAACATTCTCAAGACCCAAAAATATCAATTTTGGACCTTATAATCAGACCAAAGATTTCTGCTGCTGTATAGAGCGAATTCTGCTGCTTCATTAAAAAAAATCTGCCTTTTTCTGCTCTATGAAAATTCTCATTAATGATGCGTCATTTACACAAACAATACTGTTTTAGTCGCTTTTCCAAAAAAAAATAATGTGAAAAACGAGCAGAGCAGTTTCAGGAAGCAAAATAGCAGAGTCGCGGATAGATTCATTTTTTGTATTTTTGAGAAATAGAGCAGTTTTTGATATGAATTTAGTCAAGTAGAGCAGAGACGTGTATTTTGTATCCGAGAAATAGAATTGCAGCTGTCATTTTTTTATTTTAAAAAGAATCGACGGTTCGTTCCTGTTTTACGGCCCAAAACTGGTTTTTTAATTTGAAAATTGGTTCATATTGCTCTCTGCTAATTTGTTGAATTTAATTCAGCAAAGAAAATAATGATTTTCATTCAAAATAGAAGCTCAAATAAATTTAGGTAATTTTGGGCCGTATAACAGAAAAGACCCACACGTTGGTTTGACTTGTTACATGTCGATAAACGCAATCAAAATACTTGCGGTGTGACTTTTGGTTTATCTTGAGGTTTAAAATTAATTTGCTATTATGTGAATTACTTTAGTTTCGAAAATGGATTTTTTTTAAGACTTCACTTTCGATACAGTTGTCTCTAATTGTAGGCAAGATGTTATCGAGTGAGAAGATGGAGGAGTTGAAGAGAGTGATTGAGGCGGAGAGACACAAACTGTTCTCCCAGGTGGACATGGAGGAGAGTGAGAAGAACCAAGTGCAGCTGCAGCTGGCCAAGAAGGAGGCGGAGTTGAGCAGGGCTCAGCAGGAGCAGGATGCACTCCAGGAGAGGCTCGAGGCACTCAAACGCAAAGTGAGATAAAACACCTCGTTGTTGTCCTTTTCCCCGCCTGTGGAATTATTGGTGAAAGGTTTGGTCACCTTGTCTCATTCTAATGAAATCTGGCTTGAATAATAAATGCTGGGGGAATGCTATAAACAGTCTTGTAAAGTCATTGGGTACAGAGTAAAATTGAGGTTGATATAGAAAAGAAAAAGAGCCGTTAATATTCACGTGAAATGATTGAAAAAAGGGGCCAAGTTCGACTGGTTGGGAGAAGAGACATCAAGCGTGTTTTTTTCCTTCTTTGGGGCTCACTGAGGCCGTGTGTTTCTCTCCGTTTTTTTTTTCAGAGATGAGAGAGGACCTTTTTCTGTACCACTCAATTTCCTCTTATTTAAAGTCGCGACTTTTGTTTCAATTTAGGCGATCTTTCTACGTAATACAAACAGCATGCGTTTTGACAATACCCGTTTAATTAAATTAAAGCACATTCGTTTTAACTTTTAATGTGCAAAAATATAAGGTAGTAGGCGTCAGTTTTCTGGTGATTGAGTCTTTGAATTGGTCGCAGTAGACAGGTATTGGATCCCCGCTGTGGCAATTTCAAGTCTCGCTTTCCCTACGCTTATACCATTTGTTATTGCGTGTTATAACTTTTTTTTTGCTTGTTTGCCAAAGTCCATGTTCAGTCCTTTGTATTATGGCAATACGATGTCTTGACCGATGTGATTATTCTGACAGGTACTGGTGGGTGGGGTGGACTTGCTCGAAAAAGCACAGGAACAAGAGAGACTGCTGGAGGAAAGTGCGAAAGAGTTGCAAGCGAGACAGGCCAAGGAGGAGGAGCTTAGGAAGAGGCTTCTGAAGAAAGAGGCTGAGCAGAAAAAGGCAGAGGAGAAGTTCACTAACATGCAGGAGGAGGCGGACGTCAAGACACGCGCTCTCAAGAAGGCCTTCCACCAGCTCATGTCTGCAAAGAGCGAAGTAACGTCTTCATTTTTTCAATTATACATTAACTAGGTTATTTGGTTATTTAATAAATATGAAATATCCTGAGAGTGATGTTTCTGTTTTGGAGTTTCAAGTGCTTTTATTGCTGCATTTTTTATGATAATATCATCTATATGTTAGTCTCTGTTGATTAGCTGGCAGACATCCAAGAGGAACACGGGCGAGAGAGGGAGGCTTTGCTGCAGTCCATCCGGGAACTGCACAAAGAACTCTCGCAACAGGTGCTCATTGTGAACAGCTATATACCCCCTGACCAACTGGCTCTGATTGAGAGAAACGTCACTTGGAGCGAAGAAATTGGAGAGTTCCAACTGGTAAACAGAATTTTTGAATCTTTTTCAATCATACCTAATCAAAATGGCCAGAAAAAGCCGCTTGGAAAAGAACAGAACGGCCATTTGGTAACTATGAAATATATCCGATGCTCATTTGTTCACGAAGTCATGTTTTTTCACAGACGAGCTGACAAGCGTACTGTTTTATTACGAATCCTATTTTTAATCTAACTCGCATAAATTAGTGTGTATTTTGTTGTTCATTTTTGTAGCATAGCATTGTCAATTTAATGTGTTCGATACGCTTTATTGGTGCATGACTAGTGTTTACTTAACACAAGAGCACATCATAGAATTGGAATGACGTTAGACTTGCAATCTCCAAGTGGGAGGTTTGATTCGGAAAATTTCCATTTTATACTATGCAAAGTTTGTGCATTTTAAGTCTCCCTTTTGTCGCCTTCTTGCTTGTCTCGCCTGGTTTATATGAGCGTCATTGGCACAACTGCGTAGGGCAGTGAACTGGAAAAGTTTATTGTCCCAGGACTGGGGTTTTATTCCCATAGAAGGTATCTATTTTTCAAAAGATGGGTTTTTCTTCTTTTTTGACCTTTTTAAAGCTACTTTTTGAGTTTCTTTGCTTGTTTGCCAAGTGCAGATTTGCTTCACTGTTTAACTATTAGTGCGTGTTAACTACTTAAGGAGACTGTTAGAAGATACTTAAGGAATTGCGAAGGCAATTGACTCAGTCTCATACACTAAACTGAGCGGTCTTATGTACTAAACGGGCCAAAACATAACTAATTAAATTATTGTTCCGACCATTTGAAAAATGGGGAGAAACTTCGCATTCGAGGTTTTTAGTTTTTTTCTTTTTGTTTTCCACGCAAAATCAGCTACCACAAACAAATAATCATCGGACTGGGTTGAGTGATATATCATATTAAAGCCGTTTCAATCGTGATTCGAACCAAATTTAAAGATTTGCAAAAAATTTTCCGTGTCAAGAAAAACTGATTTGAAATTTTAGATTTTTCGTCTTAGTTGGCGCGAATATCAGAGAGAGTAATGCTAAGCTAACAAACAGTCGCGTGCTATTACGTCATTGTGTTCACAGTTCGTTTGACGATTTCTATTGCTATTTAAACACGCAAATATTAATTCCAAGCACGTTCTGAATAAAAATCTTATCGGATACTCAATTAAACACCGAAACGATGGAATATACCGAAGAATGCACTAATGCAGCCGCATCTTTATCACCTGAAATACTCAACAACCTATTGAAAACCGTGGAAACTACAAAAACAAGTTTATAACTTGGAAGTTAAGGTTACTAAAAAGAACAACGATATTTATGATTTGGAAAAAGAAGTCGCAGAACTGAAAAAAAGGGTAAATGCCCTAGAAAGGTACACAAGTAAGGATACCCTTATCTTTCGCAATTTCGATTTGGATCCCCGATCAAATTCATTGTCTGAGGACTTCTGCCAACTTGTTAAAAACATATTTTCATACTATATCGAACCATGCTCAATCAAAGCAATACACCCGCTTCCTGTAAAGAACCAGAATAATAGGGGAATGAAATCAGCGCCCATTATAGTAAAGTTCGTGTACTTCGCACACAAAGACAATATTTACCAACTCAAATCAAGACTTGCCGCATGCTTTAACTCACACGGAGAGAAAATGTATATTACTGAGCGTCTATCCCAACATGACGTCACTCTAAAGAAAAAGTGTGAGTCACTGGGATTAATAACGACTACCATGAACTGCCAAGTGAAACTTTACTACAAAGCTAACAATGGGTCGGTCCTTCTACTCGAAACATGTGGACAGTGTCAGTGAAATCGAAAAAGCTGCAAATTCAGCCATAAAACGTGACCACAGAGATAACGTCTACAACTATCCAAATCCACGGAGAAATGAAAGCAATTCTAAACCCTTCTGGAAACGCAACCAGATGCCAAGATTTAATATAGACAACGCATCGAGCAGGCAGCCTCCCCCAACGCCGGGTCAAAATAAAAGATCGCATCAAGAAATTACCCCTACTAGACCAATGGTGGACGGTAATACGTGCAAGCAGCACATCAACGAAGACACAAACGAAGCAATGTCAACAAGAGATGTCACAACAAGTGGTAGCTAGCAAACCAACTCTGAATTTTCAGATTAACTCTTAGTTCTACTTTGCAAGCTTTTAGTTTTGATATTGATAAGAATGATTGACGAGCATCAATTAGGTGACATTGAACAACAATCAATACTATTCTTAAACATAAGATCTTTACGTTACCATCATGACCAGTTATGTTGTCTTCTAGAAAACTTCAAATCTAAACCTATTGCAATAGGTTTATGTGAAACTTGGTTAACAAGCAACGATCCTCAAGGTTCCTATAATATTGATGGCTATAAACCAATTTTTTCAAAACCAAGAGAAACAAAAAATGGCGGTGGCTTAGCATTTTATGTCCGCGACGATTTCTCAGCCAACGAATATATACTTGAAAAAGATGACAAATTGGAAAATTTTTCAATTGAACTTAAAAATAATGAAAAATAGGGTGTTTTAACATTTCACTTAATGTACAGACCACCTGGGGCTGAAATTTCAGAATTTTGGGAAATGTTTGAGGAACTGATAGACAAAATCAGCGAACAAAATAAAGACATAATTATTTGTGGGTGTTTTAATATTGATATCTCAAAATATAATTCTCAAACAAAAAAGTACCAAGACCTGATCAACATGTATGGTTTACATATAAACAACTGCGAAGCAACTAGAATTACCCCGAGCACAATGACTTGCATTGACCATTCAATAAGTAACACTTTCTACGACATTGCGACTCTGCGTTGTAATATAAGCGATCATAATGCTCTTGTTAATTTTTTAAATGCCAGCGATCGACCACAAAACAAAAGAAATTCCCCCGTAATTGGAAAAGAAATTTTCATTTTTCAAGAAACTATATTAGCATATTAAAATATTTGTTTTTAATACACCAATTTCTATCTAAAATTGAGGCAAATTGGTCTGTTGATAAAAAGTTAGCCCATATAACTAGAAGTATAAATCAAGCTTTGGATAAATTTGCACCCTATCAATCTTTCAAAAATTCAAAAAAATCTTGGATAACAAATGAATGCCAAAAACAGCGCCAACAAAAGAACAAATGTTACAAAAAATGATCAAAAATCCCACCCCTGAAAACCACGAAAATTATAAAAAGGAACGGAATATCTGCGATAAAACAATTCGTAATGCCAAGATTGCTTTTTACGACAAAAGTACAGCTAATTTCAGCAACTCTAAAGAGCTTTTCTCTACAATACGATCGCTTTGGGGTAAAACAAAAAATGTTTCAGGAAATTTATTAAATGCGACAAAATTTAATGAATATTTTACCAGTATTGGTGAAAAACTTGCAGCAAAATTTACAGATAACAAAAAGGTTAAGTCGAATATTATTAGTAACACATTTGTTTTTGCTCCAATAACAATAAAAGAAACAACTAATGCGATTAAGAAATTGAAAAACGGTAACAGTACTGGTCATGATAGTATAAGCAATAAAACAATCAAACAAACCCTTCCAGTTATCAGTCAACCATTAACTGAGCTATTTAACCAATGTTTTGATGAAGGATATTATCCTTCCGACTTAAAAATTGCTCGAGTTATTCCAATATACAAAGATGGATCAGTCCATGACGCGGGCAATTACAGACCAATCAGTCTACTTACATCAATTGATAAAGTTTTTAAAAAGATCATTTTCTACAGAATGATGAGCTTTATAAATAAGAACAAGGTTTTAAGTGATAGCCAATATGGTTTTCGACCAAAACATTCATGTACTTATGCACTTTTAGAGTTTACAGAAACTTTACGTAAAAGTATTGACAAATCCTGCTTCGTAGACCTGACCAAAGCATTTGATACAATAAATCATGAAAGATTGCTGTCCGAGCTTGAAAAAAAAAACGGGTTTCGAGGAAAATTTTTGCAGCTATTACAAAGTTATTTATCATATAGATTTCAGTTTGTTGATTATAATAATTGTTGGTCAGAAAACGTTTGATAAAATATGGCGCTCCCCAGGGGTCAGTTCTGGGGCCACTATTGTTTTTACTGTACATAAATGATTTGCCGACACAACTTGGTAAAGCCAACTCCGTTCTATACGCTGATGATACAACGATTTTTTGCTACAACAAAAAAGATTTTTTAAGTGCCTTATACCTCAGTCAGGAGTGGTTTGTTGATACTGGGCTTACTGTTAATCCAGCAAAATGCAATCTTGTCTCTTTTGGTAACAATCATCTTACGGAAATTACCTTTGCATCTCACAAAATTGAAAATTCCTTCAAAACGAAATATTTAGGTCTAATAATCGACAATAAGCTCAGTTTTAAGGATCATATAGATAAAGTGGACAAAAAATTACGTCAGTTCAATGGCCTATTGCTCAAAACTAGGAAATTTTTCAGCACAAAACAGCTATTGATGTTTTATAATGCCTATGCTAAATCAATAATTGAGTACGATATTTTAACATACGGGAGTGCATCAAAAACTGACCTACAATCAATTAATTTTTTACAGAAACGAATAATCAGAACTGTATTTTGCAAAAAATACAGCGATTCAGTTCAAGACCTAGCGATTAGGCACAAAATATACACAGTTTATGAATTGTATGCGGCTCATATTTTCAAGGAAGCTTTCGGTCTCCTGAGAAAAACTTCACCTGTAAAATTTTTAAACCTTAATGAAACTTTTTACTTAAGAACAACCAGAAGAACAGCGGCAAAACTTTTACCCACTGTTAGTTTTTAAAGTAAAATGATGGAAAAGTCAGCTACGCGACGAATAACTCGAGTTTATAATTTTTATTAAAAACAACGAATTGTTGCCTCCCGATATAGAAACCAAATCCCAGTTCGAACGTTTTTTTAACAACTTTAAGGACACATATCTGTTTGACAATTATCTGATTTTTGAAATTCTCTTCTAAAATGTCACCTTGTATAATTATGTATTTGATGCTCATCAAATATTGTCTTATCTGGGGCACCCTCCATGAGTTGAACTACTCCTGGGCTGTCCCAACAAGCAGTGAATTTATGGCTTAATTGATTAAAATTGCTTGAATGTTATTTTGTACTGCTTGTTAAAAGAATAATTTAATAAAGCAAGCAAGCTGGCTTACAACAGCTGAATTATTTATGCCTAACTTTTTTAAGTTTCTCTAATCATTTTTCTACAAAATTTTTGTCCAATTTGCCTATATTACTATGACTGAGTAATATGTCAAAATTATTATTTAACGTCAGAGCCTTTTATCACACCAAGCAGAAAAAAAATACACCAATTTGGGAAAAAATTCTAAACCGTAGTTTTCTAAAAACTATGGTCGGAACATTCTGTGCTAATTGCACAGTAACCGGTTATCCTTGTTATGTGTTGTTATCTTAGTAGTTTTGGCCTATTTTAGAAATGTGTGGCTTACAGTGGAAACAACATGCGCAAACCCACTCCATCAGACGAAAAAAGAATTCAGGTCCAAAAACAATTCAATTTTTTGAATATAATTTTTCGCAAATCGAAATGAAATTGCTTCCGTTGTTGCAGCCGGATGAGTCTGATCTGTCCCACGTGTACTTGACGTACTCAGAGGCGCCTGCCAAGTCTAAACCAGTGTCGTCCAGAGCCAAGTCTGCCAAGTCCAAAAAGTGAGTCATTGTCATTTTTCTAATTATACCCGGCGCAGCTAGTTTTCAGACGCTCAATGTAAATGAAGAGCGAAGTACATCTTAGAAACCATTGAGAGTTCGTTTTGAAATAGGTGATAGGGCATTAACTTGATCCTTTTAATACTTGATATGCTTCCTTATATCTGTAAATTGTTTATAGGAAGAAAGAGTTGAAGAACTAGAGGAAATTATTTCGTCGTATATTTTGATGATGATCCAGCCAGGAGGATTAGATAGGTGTCGTTTCGTGCAATTTTGACCAAACACAGTAAATATACTCAGTGTCAAATAAATTTCGCATTGAATGTTTTTAATATTCTGTACAGTTGTACTCTAATTTGTGCATAGACGATTTGCAATAAAATGCAAGTATTGTAAAATATTTGAATATAGTTTAACCAGTTATGTTCTCGCCTTATTTTGGGGGAACTCTTAGACCAGCAGCGAACGAACTGTAGTTTAGAAAGGGTCACCTCGCAAGTTCGAGCTATTTTTTTCGAAGTGATGATTGTAAACGAAACAATTATAGCCAGTTGCTGTGCAAGTAGCCCAGAAGGTTCCGACCATATTGTTTACAGTTGCAAGAGTAATGTATTAGTACGATGCTTCTTTTTTCCAACCTAACTCGCAAATAAAAGGGCTCATATGGTGACTTTTGCTATAATCACGATCTGTAGCATTGGAAATTTCATATCATCACTTATCTGCTTTGTTTGTGGCTAGTGTCTGAAAATTTGAGCGTCCGTGGCTGAGTGGTTAATGCGTGAGAATCATTATCTCTTGATCGCAGTATTATATCCTTCGCGTACCTGAGGTAGAGCTGCGTTTTTGTCGTTCTCGCGAGTGTTTGAGGAGAGCAGCTTCACCCCTGTGTAAAAAAAACTACCAACTGTTTATTTTTCGAATTGCTTTGTTTTTGGTAAAGCCTAGAACTTCGATTGAATGAAAGCCTAGAACTTCGATTGAATGAAAGCCTAGAACTTCGATTGTAAGTTTAAAATATTGGTACTTTTGACAACAGTTCTTAATTTTTTATTCCCAAGGAGAAGCCTAAAGGTTTTTCGATAACTAATTTGGAGACATGAGCGTGACAGTGAATACTTTTATATAGGTCTTGGTGTTTTTTTTTTAAATTTTTTTTCAAATTCAGTTCGCTTCCTTTGTTGAAAGGAACGTAAAATCCACTAATGAACCGCAAATTAAGTTCACAAAAAACGTAATCAACTTCTAGTTTCGAACGTGGAATTTATGTTCAGATTTCGCAGCGGAATAAAAACCTTACCTAATAATACAGTTTTCTCCAATTGGGCTTGCTGTATCAAAAAATCTCGAATCATAAATTGTTATTGAAAACGAAATTTCAAAATAGGTTTTTTCAAAATAAACGACAATTTTTCTGGTTTTATTGCGTTCAATGACTTTTCGAATTGCCTGTTGGCTATGTTGCATGTCGTGAATTTTTTTCAACAAGTACTTGCATAAGTGGATTGTACAGTAATACTACGTTGCATCATTTTCCACCTAAACTAAGTCGCAAATAAACGTGCTCGTTTGGTGGAAATTTTGGTATACTCCAGGCAATGAAATAGCGTATCTTGCTTTATTGTTGGCTAGTGATAGTTTTTTCGCAAAAGTTGCCGCACCGATTTCCAAAAGAAGCTTACAAAGAATAGGTCGGTTACTCCTCTACGTGCTTGCATTTTGAGCTAGTTTTTTCTTACCTTCCCCGCATTCGTTGTTCTCCTAAATATAAGTGGAGATATTTCGACCAAGTTTCGAATTATTTTTTGCTGAAAAAGTACCATAACAAACTTGAAACTTTGATTTTAATCGATCCAATATGTCAAACATGGAATTGCATCCCGGATACGTTTTAATTTTATAGAGAAACTGATGGCCTCTAAACAGGTCATTGTTTGTAGTTATTTATTTTTAAAATTTTTTTATCGAAACTACTCTGTCAAATATAAGATTAAGGTTTCAATTTTTTCTGAATAGGCTTCTACACTCTTGTTCCTGGACTTACCGGTGGTTATGGCTGTACTAAATAACTTAAGTAAATAACTTAGTGATTATCTCACCGTTTTTTGTTATAATTTTTTTGATTTTTAAAAAACTCCCTTGCTCAGTTTGATATTTAAGGGTTCAATCAAGACAACCTGTTCCGCGGATCTCCCACTCAAAATGTCATGCCCTATTTTTGTAGAAAAAGAATTATTGCCTGAGAAATTGTAAAAATTTTCAATTTACGAGCGTGCTTCTTAATCTTTTTGTTTTCTCGACCCCGCTAACTCGAAAATTGAGGGATTAATTTTAAAAATTAGCGTTAGAAACTCTCCTTGCATAGAAAAACAATTATGGCATATAAATTTTCCTTATTGTAACTGATGACTGTTTTTTGGAAATTTTTTGACCTCTCTGAAAAGTTTCCTGCAATACAGAGTTGAAAATTTTAATAAAAAACAGGTTTTGTACATCTCTGCAAAAAAGTTGTCACCCTGATTTTGTTTTGTATATGTATGTGTAGTATAGCGTTTAAAGTTATGTCTTTTATTTACTACATGGGCACCAGAAAAATCACTCTCAATTACTTCATTGATCAACTACCAGTTAAAATACCAAACGTTTGGTCTCCATTCCTGTCAAGCCAACATCGATCTCAACTTCGATTCCAATTCACTAGAATCGGAATCTACTAGATCATCAGTATTTGGAATTGATGGAATCCCAAATACTGATCAGTACTTGCGATTTACGCAATCTCAAATGCTGTCCTAATTCGGCGATATGCTGTGCGTTGGGTATCCATACACTTTCAACCCAATGACTATAATTACTGAATTTATTTGGTATTGTGATGCCAAAATACTAAAACATGACATCCACCGATTTAGTTAACAAATGTTTTAAATTTGTTCGTGGATTCCGCTGACAATGATTAAGTCCTTGCCTTCAAATTCCGCATTGCTATAGATAAGAATTCCAGATCGAGCTTTTTATTGTTAATACGCAACTTCAGTAGTCAACAAAAATCTGAATCCATTTACAGTTTGCAGATTCCACTTACATTTACGGTTTCCACTTACATTTAGTGGAAACTACTGACAGTTGCGGAATCCAGAACAACTAAATATATTCGCTTGCTGCAGAATTCGCGGCACAACAAATGTGCCGACAAAGTTTACGTTACAGGTATTTGCAGGCGGAATTCACGGAAGTTTTCTAAGTGGAATCCTCTTAAATTTTGGAACATGTTTAAAGATTTGTCTATGGAATCCAGGGAAATACAGACACAAAATTGTTCGTCTATCCAGTGCACAGTTTGGTCTCGTAATGAATTCAATGGACTATGCTGCTAATTTGCTCATGGCTAGTTTTGGGTTCTATTTGAAAAAAAAACATTTAGAAAATAAATGGAATTTATTGTTTTCCGTTTTTTTGAAATGCTTTGGAATTTTTTTTCTATTTTTTGCAAACATTTCAATTGTTTTCAAAAACTACTGAATGTTTTTCAAAAACCTTGGTTTTAATGGAAAAACCGGCTGCTCTGGAAAAGTTATGGCCTCGAGCAAGCCAGTTTTTTGACACTTCGGTTAATTGCTAAAACTTTTGACACATCTCAAAAACTGCCAAATATCGCAGAGTCGGGGTTTAACCGAAAACAAAAATCAGGTATGCAAGTCTGCAAATCCTACATGCACATGCGGCTATGCCCTGCCTTTTGAAAAAATTGTGGCCTAAGAAAACGTCCAATCTTTGAATTTTTGCCCGTTTTTTGCAAAGTATTTTTTTTTCAAAATCTAACCCGTTGAATCTGAGCTTAATAATTCATTAAAACTAACATGGCGCTTGGACTTTTCCTGCGTAATCTGCTTAACCTGTTTTTTCAATAAAAAAGCTTTTATGGACTACGGAAAAATTCCTTTTTAGTTTATTACCGTATCTTAGAAGTTTCATCTTTATTCTCGAAAACTACTAGCTAAATGAGATTTTAAGGACTCAATCTACAAAATCAGGGTGTAGAAGTTTTCAAACTAGCAATCATGGTAAGAAAAATAGAGACTATTTCCATGCTTTATTAGAGAAAAATTAATGGATGTGGGAAAAATTGACCTATTTGGGAATCCTTTTCAAATTTTTTCGAAAGCTACCCAGTAAAATTGAGATAAAGTCTTCAATTGAAAGAACGAGTAGTAGTGTTTTTCTATGAATAAGCGCTTCATCTCCTATTTCAGCAGAGAAACACTTGGTTTTTGTGTAAAGTCCATTTTTTGGAACTTTGAAAATTGCTCATTTCCGTTTCAGTACAATTTATGTTTAACAAATTTAAAACAGGTGATTCAGCTTTAGCTGGGCCACTAGTTTACTTGCAAGTGACCTTGACACAGATGCGAGGACGTGAGATTGCTATTCAACAGGTCAGATATTCATATCCGGAAGATTTAAGTATAAGTTTGTTTTTTGGTCTACTTTTTGCTGCATGACATTGGCAGTTTAATAGAAACTGTAATAGCTTATTGGTGGCTAAGGTTAGTAAAACTAACAGCCATCGTGAAGCAGATGTTAGAACGTGATACTCCTAATCTCAGCAAAAATTTTTTAAAGTGTTTTCTCAATTTTTGCTTTTCATCCTGTTTTGCCTGATTAGAGATGTTTTTTGCATTTTCTTCGCATGAGTTTGTTTTTTGCATAAAGTACAATTTCAAATACATTGATGGTACATTGATGAAACAGAGATTCTAAATTGATGACAAATGGATTGTCTTTCTCTTTTTGCCAAAATTTGCGGCCGTGAAATTATAGTTTTTGCTTTTCAAGCGATACGCAATGATGCGAAATTCGAAAACACTGTAGCCAAATGTTATGATGTTTTTTATATTTCGGATGTTTGTGTTGATTTCTTGTCGGAAAAAGAAGTGTCTAAAAATATCAATCAAACAACACATTCAAAGGTATGAAAAGTTTTTCTCCTGTTCTTTTTTTCATACCGCGGAAGGCTTTAGATTTGAAAACCCGAAACGGTTCCTATGAACTTATGTTTTGCGGTACACAACTCTCCCAAAGTTTTGTTGCGCAATGCAACCTTCTTACGGATAGTTTTCTTAAAAAACTATCGGAAATTTTTCTAGAGAAAATTATTTTCTAATAAAAAACTGCAATCTTGAAAACCAAGTTGATTAAGTAAAAAATTCTACATTTAATAATCATTGCTGAAACATCAGTTCAATTTGCAGCCTTGCGTCATGGATGAATCATAGAAATTACATCCATATTTTAGTCATGATTCATTAATTAATCATAAAGGTAATTTGAATTCATGTTTTATAGATGAAACTAATAGCCATCGTGAAGCAGATGTGAGAACGTGATACTCCTAATCTCAGCAATTTTTTTTTTAAAGTGTT